ATTTAACATGATGTAGAAATATGTATTATTTTGCAGGCAAGTAGACGGAAAAAAGCATCTTGCAAACCAGGGAAGAAAGGAAAAGGAAGACAGCGGCGGAGAATGAAAACGATGGGAATGCTTATAAACTGCTGGCAGAGGCTGCTGAGTGTGACCGCTTATTAAATTACAGCATACACAGGTCTCAGTTCAGCTCCACTTCACATTATTTAAAACATTATGCACATTAACTTTCTCTTTATCATTATTTATTCACTTTCACTTTTTAATAAAAAAAAAAGAAACACCAAGTGTTTTGTATTAAACTTCTTCAGTGTAATGATAAGCTGAGATTGTGTCAAACTCATAAGACGCTCTATGGTTATACATTTCTACTTCTGGTTGTATATCTTTTATTTGATAGCACTATATATGTTTTGTGTATAGCAAGTTGAAAAGCTATTCATGTTAAACAGTTACATGCACAGTTAGATGCACATATATACATGGACACTCACATCTGGTGCTGCATAATGAGCCAAAATTACAACTGTAATAATTTAAAGTTGACAATGTTATTCATGTTCTCATGGTTCCAATGCTAATGATTGTACATTCACAACATACTGTAATTACTCGAGATAAGCTGTCTCAGTAACATATCTCCTACCTTTTCAGTGGATTCATCTTGTAAAACCTGTGTTGGGTAGAAGAAGGTGCTTATTTGTCTGAATGACTTTGTTTGAAGGTTTATTGGATAGTAATGGATGATATTTTGGAAACTGACAGACATCAGTTTGCTGCTTATAGGTGCTGCTGATTAGTCTTGTTTTGTTGATTCCTTCTATAAATCCACTTTTTTCTGTAGGTAGATTTAAAAATAAATTAATAAAAACTCTGAAAAGACTTAAATGGTTTTCTCCACCGTTTTTTGCGCCGCATACCAGTCTCCGATCAGCAGTCATGTTGAAGGCACAGATTTTACTGAGCAGGAAATGTCCCATTACAGGTGAGATTTATTTATGATATGCCACATTCAGCGTTCATTATTGATGTGTAATAAGTATTTCCGATGTTCAGGGTGCCGTGTAGAGTTTCTACTGCTATATGCTCATGTGTAAATATATATGTCAGCATATGCAAGCTTGTTCTGTGTGTACTACACTAGTCACCTGTAGCCTATAATATAATGCCTGATACTGCTTTTGAAGTATATTCCTAATCAGTTCTGTTTAACATTTGCTGTTTGTTTTATTTGTCTTAACAGGCACAGAATAAAGTCCATGTTTTATCATGCATACAACAGCTACTTAGAAAATGCATATCCCTATGATGAGTTGAGGCCGCTGACATGTGATGGACAGGACACATTGGGCAGGTATGAGCTTACAGCACAAACACTGTCCAGGCACTCTTCTCTCCTTTAACAAAAGGACAGCAGGTAGTCAAAAACGTTACTCCTGAATAATCGCCACCACCTCGTCTTGGTATCTTAACTTGTTCAATACCTGTGTATCATGAAGTGAACAAATTATGTTCCAGGCATGGAAATCCCAGGACATCTTTACAGCTGAAGCTCATGCTTTACTCTTAGCCCTGGAAAATATCGGAAAATGGATAAGAGCAAAATTTCCTATTCTTCACAGACTCAAAATCTTGCAACTCTGTAAAGACTCGACCACCCCCGAAATTATAAATATCTTTCCTAAAGTAGATCTTTTTGACACTTCAGTACCCTTTTCTGCTGGGTCCCAGGTCATATTGGTTTATTTATTTTTAGTAATTTCAAATCTAAGCATGATCGATTTCATTTTTGCTAGGTTTGAGATTTACACACAATTATTTATTGAAAGGTGAAGAAGCACCATAAGGCCTTCCTTGTCAAACGTATTTTACTGGACTGCAGTTTTTCATGTAAATAGACATTTTTACTCAAATATTTGTTCCGTGCCATGCAGTGTTCAGAAGCAGAGCATATTTTTCCTCTCTGATCGCAGATATTGGGAAACCACACAGAGTTCCAGCGTGTGGCCACTCTGCTCCAGGACACGGTTGATTTCGACACTGATGTAAATGCATCTGTGTTTGAGACAAATATACAGGTAAAGTTTTATTTTTTTATTTTTTTAATTGTGTTTGGCCTTCTTGGATGAACATGGCAAAGCCCTATTTCAAAATAAATCCAAAAATCAAAAGAAAACATTTTTGTTTATCTGTATGTTCTTTTATTAATTTTTTTATTTTTTTGCATTACTGTAAAATGTGTTAATGTGCATTATTGTCATGAATATAATGCACAATGCAAAACAGAATTTGGGGTGAAATATGACCCGGACGTGTTTTTGGGAAACGTATACTTATCCTGTAATACTGGCCTGTAGTCACTGACACTGAGCGAGTTTCACCAGTGTATGTGCTGATGTTCTGCAGTGGTTGGTGGGCTTCTCTCGGCTCATCTGCTTTCCAAGCGTGCCGGGATGGAGGTGGAGGAGGGCTGGCCCTGCTCCGGACCCCTTCTGCGCATGGCAGAGGATGCTGCCCGCAAACTGCTGCCTGGTGAGGGAGCTAAGATGTGCTTCAGAGTTCAGACCATACACTCTAAAAAATGCTGGGTTATTTCAGCCCAATGTTGGGTCAAATATGGACTAACCCAACTGTTGGGTTAAAAAGCTCATTTAAAAATGTAACCAAAATTTAACCCAACAGTTGGGTTAGTCCATATTTGACCCAACATTGGGTTGAAACAACCCAGCATTTTTTTGAGTGTATATTTATAAATAATAAGGCTGTCTGAAACATATTTAGCATGAATCATTTGTTTCAGTTTTCATTTGTGTGTCACTTTGGATAAAATTGTCTGCAAAAATTATTACATGTAAATGTTAGCGCAAAACATTTTGTTAGTGACGTGATTAGTGCGATGTTGTATTGTTAAAATGTGGGTAGTGTAAGTGAATGAACAATGTGTATTATTTTTCAAGATATCTCAGTTTATTTGTCAGCAAAAGGATGCCAGATGACATAAAACACATAATCAGGCAGAGTTTTGACAAAACCCTTTTGTGTATAAGTCATTATAAGTCATCGACCAGTATAAGTCATTATAATCAGTAATTATGTCCCCACTGGATGCAACAAATGCCTCGTTTATAATGGGTTTTAATGTTTTTGTCTCATCGCTCCGACCGGGACACAGCATCACAGTATGGTAAAGGGTGTAACATTTCCGTCACACGCTTGAGGTATTCAGCCAATCACAACACACTGGATAGCTGGCCAATCACAGCACACCTCACTTTTCAGACCGATGAGCTTTGTAAAAATCCACACGTTGCAGAAAAGCGGGGCATAGAGGAGAAACAATAATGTACAGTATGTGGAAAATAATGTGTTTTTTTAACCTTAAACCACATAAACACATTTCATTACCCCAAATACACAAAATAATGTTCTTTTTAGCAACATCATATGACCCTTTTAAGTAATTTGATCATGATAATTGAATAATGCTGTCAGTTTCATATATCCTGTCTCTTGTCAGCTTTCCAGACCCCCACAGGGATGCCATATGGGGGGTGAACCTGCTGAGGGGGGTGAACCCCTCTGAGACCCCGGTCACCTGCACTGCTGGAGTGGGCACCTTCATCCTGGAGTTCTCCACCCTCAGCCGACTGACTGGAGACCCCGTGTTTGAGAACGTGGCTCGCAAATCTCTCAGGGCCTTATGGAGAACACGCTCAGATATTGGCCTGGTAAAACCTTTTGATCTGGATCAAGCCGTCTATAGGACAATCATGACGCATGTGTAGTGAATATTAATATTCTTTGGTTTTAACTCCACAATGTGAAATATTAAAGGAATAATAAAAAATGTTTTGCTGAAAATGTACTCACTCTCAAGCCATCCCAGATGTAGATGAGTTTGTTTCTTCATGGGAACAGATTTGGAGAAATGTAGCATTGCATCACTTGTTCACCAGTGGATGCTCTGCAGTGAATGGGTGCCGTCAGAATGAGAGTCCAAACAGCTGATAAAAACATCACAATAATCCACAAGTAATCCACACCACTCCAGTCCATCAGTTAATGTCTTGAGAAGTGAAAAGCTGCGTTTAAGAAAACAAATCCATCATTAAGGCATTTTAACTTATTTAAACAAAATGAGTCTATAATCCATAATAATACTTCCTCCAGTGAAAAAGTTCATCTCCTGTTGTCCTTTCGCATTAAAATCCACCCACATATTTGTTTAGAAGTGTTTGGACTGTAAACGGTCCTGATTCAGATGAGACGACTTTTTCACTGGAGAAAGAAATATTATGACTTGTATATTAGCCAGAAGCAATGGTGTGAAGTTAAAAACGTCTTAATGATGGATTTGTTTCTTACAAACACGCAGCTTTTCATTTCACAAGACGTTAACTGATGGACTGGAGTGGTGTGGATTGCTTGTGGATTATTGTGATGTTTTTATCAGCTGTTTGGACTCTCATTCTGACGGCACCCATTCACTGCAGAGCATCCATTGGTGAGCAAATGATACATTTCTCCAAATCTGTTCTGATGAAGAAACAAACTCATCTACATCTTCAGTGTCCAGAGAGTGAGCACATTTTTCCGCAAATTTTCATTTTTGCTTGAATTATTCCTTTAACAGAATGCAATATTAACTTATTCACTGGTACCTTAACATTTGACTTGTTCTGTGATGCACAGTGTATGGATGTAAATTGTCCTGAATGACCTGCATGTACCCAACAGTCCTACTGACCGCAGCCAGTCAGTAGTAGTTAAACCACTCAGAAATGTCTCTTCTGAAAAGCTTTGACCGAATGCTCATGATTCAAATTTTGTATGCAACCAATTATCCCTGAGTTCACAGAAAACAGATTATAATCCCAATCTCTATGCCATAATGCTTATAGAAATCCAAATCTGATTAATACTTAGCTTTTTGCTTTGTAACATAGCTGGACATATTTGCAAGCTGATTAAATTGGGTCAAATGCATTTTTTATTATTTTTTTAAATCATATTATTTATAATGTTAGCGATTGCTATGAACCAAAATATGCTCATTTAAAAAAAAATGTTTGTGACCACTTTCTGACCCCTGGAATTAAATGGGGCATTAGGATCACAATGTAAACCCTCTTTGCGTGTGAAATGAGTAACAATGTTCACACACAAGTGCAAACATTTTTATATGACCCCTTGTTTCCTACACTGTATGGAAAAGCATGGAATTTGATTTGAGTAATTCCCAAGTCTGGATATTTGCCCCTATTCGGTTTTTTAAAATAGAGTTTCTAAAATCAAATGTATCATACAAGCAGTGTTTTTATGCGGTTTGGAGCAGGCATCCAAAAGTTAGGAGATCATTTAGTGATGTAATGTAAAATAATGGGTGAAATATGGGTGAATACTTGGGTGAGAACTGATAATGCGTGATGATAAATGATTTCATCAATCATTATTATGCTGAATGGCATATCCTTCCATTATTTAGAAAATATTGTTTTCTAAATAAATGTAATCAGTGACAATATTTTAATATTAAAATCAGTGTGAGTGCAGAGGTGTTGTGTGTGCTGGGTCTTAAGTCGCAGGGGTATATTTGTAGCAATAGCCAAAAATACATTGTATGTGTCAAAATTATAGATTTTTCTTTTATGCCAAAAATCATTAGGATGTTAAGTAAAGATCATGTTCCATGAAGATATTTTGTACATTTCCTACCGTAAATATATCAAAACTTAATTTTCCATTAGTAATATGCATTGCTAAGAACTTATGTGATTCTCAGTATTTTGATTATTTTTGCACCCTCAGATTCCAGATTTTCAAATAGTTGTATCTCAGCCAAATATTGCCCTATCCTAACAAACCATACATCAATGGAAAGCTTATTTATTCAGCACACCAACACATAATATTATCCTGTTTATTATAATCATGTAGTGCTGCTTTAAATACTCAATCTCTTTAAAGTTGAGTGAATTCTGAACGACTGTCAATGTTTTTATCATTCATCAGATGTAAAAAAAAGTGATTACAATGACATAATTTCTCTGTGCCGTAATCATTATAGATGTCATTTGGACTTCACTATCCTCATGGTATTAAATGATTATCAAAACTTTATATTTATTGTCATAGTTATCATCCTTGGTGTGAAAGGGCCTATATTCAGGTTTGTAATATTACTCAGATTGTCAAACATGTCTCATTCTCAGCACTGCTATCTAGGTGATGAATACAATAATAAAGAAATAGTTATTTTTTCATTACTAGCCAATTTCTCAAATGTAAATTAAAAATATTATATAGCTATATTTCTGAATATAATTGCAGTGGTTATATTCAGGTACATTCAATCAGTTTTGGGGAAAGTTACTTTTAAAAGTAATGCATTACAATATTGTGTTACTCCATAAAAAAGTAACTAATTGTGTTAGTTACTGTTTATGGAAAGTAATGACTTACTTTTGTGTTACTTTTTTTTTATAACAACAAAAAACCCAAAAGTTATATTTTTGGCAATTGTAAAGGCCCTTTCACACCAAAAGTGAAATGAATAAGGCTCAGGCTGAAGGATGTTCCTCTTCCCAGGGGCGGATTTACCCATTAGGCAAAGGTAGGCGACCGCCTTGGGCCCCCAAAAGCCAAGGGCCCCCTAAAATGCTATTCATATATATGCGCATTAAGCGCTGACATGTGAACGGTTGCTGTTTACGGTGTTCATTACCACGACAACCATCCGAGTTGAACGTGCTTTTTGTGTATCCTGCTTGAAGGAGATGAAAATATCATGCATCTGAAGCTGTAATTAAATATTGAGAAAAGGCATGTATTATATGTTTATAATTGTTAAAGAAAGCCATTATAACATGTACATGAAAAATGTAGAAACATTGGACACAACTATGGGGCACCATTGAGCAGCAGCAAGCATCACAACAAAAAAGGAACCTCAAGGTTGATTTAGGAAAATGTGTGCAAATGTATAGGGCCCCATTCCTATATTTTGCCTGGGGCCCCCAATTCACTAAATCCGCCCCTGCCTCTGTCTCTTCACCTCACTCCTGATTTCTCTCAATACAGGGACAGGAGAGGTATCAGTGAATAAATGGGAAAACAAAGTAACTTGCGTTACATATTTGAAAAAGAATCTCCGATATTTCGTTATAAATTTAAAAGTAATGCGCTACTTCACTAGTTACTTGATAAAAGTAATCTGATTACATATCTCGCGTTGCTTGTAATGCATTACCCTCAGCACTGCATTCAACTGGTAAAATGTTGATCAAGCAAAACAGCATTTGATCAATTTAGTAGCATTTTGAGGTGGAATGCCTTTTCGAGAAAAACTGCTCATACACAGAATGAATGGCATGAGATTTTAAGAACCGAAGTGTGTTTGCTTACTTTATGGGAGTACTGCACAGCAGAGGTGATCTGTCTGAAGAAGTGTCTGGCCTCCTCCTCTGACAGTCTCTGTTTGTCCTGAATGTAGTCATACAGCTCTCCTCCGCTCGCGTACTCCATCCCCATCACAATCCTCTCTCTGCTCTCGAACACTGAAAACACAACACATTTCATTAACATTATTCTGGATACAGCATTTGACACACACACATTGATGTGTTGATGTGTTTTACCCTCATGTAGACGGATGATATTTGGGTGCACAAGAGAGGCGGTGATCTCAACTTCTCTCTGGATGTGAGCTCTATCCAGATCATCCCTCAATCTGTCCTTTCTAATGGATTTAATAGCCACCTAAAGCACACAAACAAGCACCTTATAAAGAAACACACCACCGAACCAAATACGTATGCCTGCCTGTTAGTATATATACGTAGGTCAATGATGAATGAAGTTATTCAAAAATACATGGAAAATGCAATTAATGCAGACTTCAATTAACCTCTTCTGCCATGTTCTGTTTTCAATTCTGTTCTGTTTTCAAACTTATGTTCGTTGAATCAAAGTCAGTTTGGTGTAGCAAACATACAGGAAGCCATTTGTCATGTCACCAAAAAAAACAAAAACACTCTTAACTAAAACCTGCTGTCTGTATGGCGACATTGGCAGTGCCATCTGGGAAGCTGCCAAGCAACTCTGACCCCAATCTGGAGATCTGGAGAGACTGTCACACATGCTCCCCTGTCACACATGCAGCGAGTGCCCGGCTCCTTCTGAATGCTCTTAGTGTTTGTCTGCAGGAATCCCAGCTATGCCTAAGGCTCCTGGATTCCGGAATACTTCACCTCCGAGTCCGGATGAGTGACTGAGTGAGAGAGAGGCTCAGATGCTGCTCTAATCTGATTGGACACTGAGATTACTTCATTTTTTGCATGAATGCGATACGTTTTCAGGCTGTGAAAGAGTGCAGACAGCAGGCTGGGGGAATGTCTCTTTTGTTTTTGTTAAATGACAGACTGAGCGATGAATGAGTGGTTAAGTATTTAAATAAGTGTGCTAACATGAGGTCTACATACATAGACACGCAAAGCACCTATTGGATGAGCCCAAAAATAATTAACTGAGGTGAATTGCTAGGTAAAGATGTGTTGAATGACTGACACGCTGTCAGAGGTAAGAGAGAACATGCTGGATATTCTTCTCAAAAGAAATTAAGCCTTTGTACATTTTTGATTAAATAAATTCATGAAATTTAGCCATTATTAGGAGCTCTGGTATGTTAAAAACATTGAGTCCATAATTTATTGAGAACAGTCAAGCCAAGGTTGCACAGTTAACTAAAACTACAGCTAAATAAAAAATGTTTTTGCTTGGAAAAAAGAAAGAAATGCTACCTGAAATTTAAAAAAATAATAATAATAATAAAACTTATTTTATTTCAGTCC